TGCAAATCGGTTTGCTCACCTTTGGACTCCGTATGGATTGATTTATCTACATCGAGTGTGTTCGTTTGTCCCCAAGTATGTCGCTCTTTCAACCCAACATGATCTGAACATATGTAAACAGTTGATAAGATTATCACGAAATAACGAAATTCAACACATTCTGTGATCCTGGGGCTTCTTATTCTCATGAAGGTATTCCATGTCACTGTGTGCATGAATATTTATATTTTCATGTTCTTTCTTTCTTTCAGATCCTTCAATAGCATATAAGAATTCATTATCCAGAGTGAACTTTGCCAAACACCTTGGAGTTACTACCAATAATCGCTGTCGTAGATAGGCTCACTTCAATAACTGTTTTGGAAAACTGCAGGGTCTATAATTTTACATTCGAAACCTTGCACATCCCGAAATAAATTAGTTCCACTATTTTATGGGTATTTTTCTCCACCGGCTTGCTTCATTGTCCTCTGGTTGTTTTCCCCGGGCTTACTTCTTATGTTTGATGTCGCGGTCTTATGAACATCAGTAGATTTTCCGTCATTTCACTGAATGCGTTGATTTCGGAACCTTCTGAAGATTGGGTAACTTTCAATGGTAACTTATAAAAAGGATTATTTCCGACCCTGTATTGTTCTGTAGTGTTCCCAGGGGTTCACGCTCTTTGAATTGCGTTTCACTTTATCTCGAATGAACACAAACCGAAACTGTTAGGTCCTCTATATAGCATGTTTACTCGCCAGTGGTTATATGGCAAAAAAGTGAACTCGCTCTCCGCCTTGAATGGTAAGGTTCTTACGTTCCGCATCAACGATTTTCATGTAATGCCTCGGATGTGATGATGAGCATATGTGTATTCTCTTGAAATGAAATATAAGCTTTTGTGTTTGGATGAGTTCTGCAATGCTATAAAATCTGTGGATCCGATATACTCACAATCTGTTTTGAGACAACATGGGGCGCATTTTTATCTACGGGACCAGTTTTTCCTCTCGAAACATGCTGAATGGATTCAATAAATGAGGGGAGTGTATGTTCCTGAAGGTCTTTGACTATCATATGCATTCCATCGGATATCTAGTAAAGTAACTTTTGTGTTTTTGTGGGCTACCACTTCCGTAGTTCGATTGCAAATCTTCTGCTCCCCGAGTTCAACGAGCTAGTAACCAATAATCTTTCGCTGATATCATGGACCGAAAAATCTTATTCGTACTGTACCTTGGACGTGGACATGAATCGAAAGATGTATGCAAGTACTATGCCAATATGACTTCAGTTAAATTAATGGATATATTTAGCTAGATTTAAACCATATTGAAAATGGCTGATACATTGTCCATGAATAATCAAATTTAGTGGATCTATTTTCAATATTAAATAAGTTGAAGAATACAGTAGGTTTATGTTGCACAATTGGTATCCGGATATATTTCGCTGCAGCTCATCAGGTGCATACTACGGATTATATCATATTCAGGATCACAATAAATTGATAAAAATTACCGTTAATAAGTTAAAAGCTGACAGATTTTCTACCCAGGTAACACCAAAGTAACGAACAAATCGTTTTGTTTGCACAAAATAGGCTTCCATCTTTGAAACGCAATTGCTTCAGCAAACCGCAGTAAACGTAAATCGGCGTTGAATAGGGTCACAGAATAACGCAGTGTTTCGATGGAACCGATGGTTTGTCTCAAGCAAATGGTGTGCGATGGAAGAGACTGGTGTCTGTGACCGGTGAGCTTTGACCTATTTCCCATTGGTTGGCAAAAGTGTCCACCCACCGTGGGACATGTTTAATCACTCTCTCACTCGACCTAGGTAGGTGGCCGAGCGCCCGCACGTGAACATCAAATGGGAGGTTTAAGGTTTAAAACAAGTATCCAAAGGTTTCAGTTTTTAGAATACTGAATGTTATGTACGATCGAGCAATTATTGTGCTTAATAATGAACGATGTTCTCCAGCCAAACTTTACTCAAGTATCGGATAGCTTATTCAATAATTGAAACCCACAGGCTTTCGAGGATAAGGACCATATGTAAAACAAAGAATATACTCAATGAGTTTTACAAGGTGTACGGAAATAATTTTCGTTTTGATCTCATTTGAGGGTCGGGGGTCTTAGTTTGTCGTAGTGAATCTGTGGATTCTCATCTTTTGATAAGATTGAATCACTTTTACAGGTTCTCAGACATTTTTAGTTCTCAGTTACACTGTCTCTATGTATGCCAGAATTTCATTTGGGAAACATTTGTCTATAACACAGGTAGCATTGAGTCATGCTTTGGTTTGCATTCAGGATCCTGTACAACGCAAATAACACGTGGATTCTCAATCACACACGGAGACACTAAGCGCGAAAACTGATCACTTTAAACTGTGCAATCATACGGAATCGTTTATTCATCTACTATGATCTCGGAGACCAGCGTCCCTCGTCACTGCTCCTATAAGTATACTTTTCTTGGTTTAACTTGTATTCTCTACCTCGAACTCATACACAGGTATATCAAAATGATGAATGATTCTTTATTTAAATCAGTGTTTTATTTTTTCAATCCATCTTTTGTATTTATTTACTATCAGAATAGTACACATTTTCAAGTTAGGATTTACCATAGGCGTAGAACTCACTGAGCATCCTTTTTTTTAGTTCATACTAATTCACGGACACCGTGGTGTATGTGCTAATCCTTTGATGTCCCCTTCATGAAAAATCGGTTATTAAAAGCGACACGTAGAAAAACTTTTCCGTGTTGTTTATCCTCAGTAATGTCACCCACTATCATCCGGTGCATACTTGGGCAATATCACACCAGTATTTCGAATAAAAATAAGAAACCTACTGGTGTTTAAGTTTCTGTCACAGCCTTAACAAAATAAAACCACGATAGCTAAACACTTGTTTGCAAAGACTGCGTTTTGACTTTTTGGATAAACTTCTCCGGTCTTCGATCATCAGTTCAAAAGACGCGGTTGTGAAATGACGCTGCGAATTAATTGCTTTGTGCGTGTGGGTGAGGATCAACGTTTGGATCCAGTTAACCTGTTAACGAAACGCATTCCCAACTAAGTGGTGGCGAATATTTTCCACCGATAAACTACGACCAACCGAGAAGAGTCTCAGACGTCTGACCATTACCACCAAAACTCAATGTTGCTCAATGGAAACCCATATTGATTGCTTGGCAGTCTCCGTAATTGTATTTCAATATAAGTTGATGAAATCTGATTCGTCAATCACAATACATGGACGAAATCATAGAAAACATTGCGGAAAACAGTAGTCTGATTCTGATTCTGTTGCACAACAATACTAAACTGTTCGTCCTTCAAAACTTTCGTAGGGTTTAATAATTCCCGTGACTAGGCTCTGAAATGTGCTATTTCCTCCGAAGGTGGACATTGTGTTGACATTAGGAAAACATTTTATAGCATGTATAAGTCTTTCTATTAAAAAACATCATATCTCGATTTGTCTACGAAATCGATGCTTTATCAACTGACATTAGTCAAGTTATGTCTCTGCCTCAGGTACTGGAGGCCCTTTGGATTCACAAAGTTGGTAGTGGCTAATCACTGCTGCATTCTTTCCACCTTCTGGATTTACCACCGACTGGGGAGGCTTTGTGCCATCTCATGCCGTAAGTGACGATGCGAAAAGATGGTTGAGAAAATCTTAGGATACTTGATATAAAGGTAATTCTTCACCGTTTCGCTCTTTTAATCAATTTTGACTTGGAGGCATGTGAACACCTGTGGTGAAAGTGAATTATTTCAAATAACTAAAACCCCGTATGCACTTTGTGCATAAATCAAAGTAAAGAACAGCCAGTTGTTCTGTAATCGACACTCATATACATGCATTATATATATTTATATGTATATGTATAGTGTTTCTTATCAACTGGGCTACGAACCCTAATTCAGTTATAATTCCTTTTCTAAGTGTAACTAGAAAAGCCAGTTCATTGACATATCATACTCTGGTATTTTTCCGTCTGTTTTCTAGAGATGCGTAGCATGTCTTTGATCAGTGGACTTTAGCACTCTTCAATGCACATCTATTTATCGAGATATTCTATGCTTTTGTCGTATATTAGTTTGAATAAGCAAATGGGGGAGGCTCAAAGGGTATTAATTATTGATTATGACTAAACCCGTGATGCACATACTTTGCCACAAACCAATATAAACAGTTATCGAAAATCGACCCCTGAATCGAGTTCATGCATGTCGACAAACTCTAATTAAACAGTGCACATCACCAAAAACTATACAGCCGACACCGCTGGTGAACCTACCTGATTTGTGTTTGGCGACATGCTCAGTGACGACGCACTTAGACGTAAGGCGAAAGAGGAGTTGCACGAAAACCCGGAACACATCGAAGCCCACTTGGAAAGTTTTCGCCGGTGGATTCAAGCATTACCACATATCACATTTCCTGATGGTACGTGTCAAGTGCGACTCGTGTTTCTGAAATGCATGTTTAATAAAAGGATAGTTAGTAGTAGTGCTGGTGGTATTTTTTAGTTGAGTTCACATTCATAGAATAAAGTTGTTTGGCTGTTCCGTATGCATAGAGCGCTTTCATTTTTTAAGACCGTCTACTTTCGTGGAGTCGCGTAGTCGAGATCCCGACGTACGATGCAACTAAAACTTGAGTTGGTAACTCGGAACAATTCGCATAGATTGTACTGAACTATTTGTGACGAAAGACATATTTAGAGTACCGGATAAGCAAATCAGATATAAATCCACAAGATTGTGCCGGGACGAAGAGGATCATTTATTACTAACAGCGGTAAACCGGCATTCATACAACAATATATATCATGTGGAACCAGTCTTCATAATTTCTACAAGCATAAACGATAATTAAAGGAACGGTCCGACGGTGGATTCGCATGTTCATTAATTACAAAATTAAATCCTTCAATCCACTCATGAACTCCGTGGAAATCCAATAACCGCCTCTTGGTGCGTGGAAACTACTCACAAGTGTGAGTGGTACCTCACAATAATAGCAAACAGTGAATTCGTATTGGTAATGAGAGCCCATGCAGTTCTTCCTATCTTTTCGTGTGCGTACCCTTGATTTCAATATGATGAAGCTCGCTTTACTCCATCACGATCCTTCCCGAGACCAATTTTGAGCATTTTCCTGCCACAAGAACGGTGCAGCAATGATGAATTAGTTAATTGACGGCCTAAACTCTTCATGTCTTTGAACGAAGGAAGAATTCATTTGTTTAATCACACCCTTAATTTTCACTTCACCAACTAGATCGTCGAATTTTACTGGCATTTCTGAGACAGGCCAAATATATTCATTCCAAGGCGCAAATTCGCCTGGATAATTTCTGTACCATTCGGTGTTCGCCCACGTTAGGCGTACCTAGTTGGTTCGAGTACCCTTCTTTGGATGATCCGGACTTGAAAAAGTATTTGGACGCATGGTAAGTTGTGGTATTTTTAGCGTATCAGGAAGAATCATCTCTAAGTAGTTCCAAGTGTTCACATGATCACTAATTAGGATTAGGAGACGAGTGGCGATAATTCACGTGACCCGCATCAATGTATTTCAACCTGATTAGCCCTTAAACTTATTCCATCACCATACATTCTGAGTTGGTGCACTACGATTACCTTTCGATCATCATATCCTATGAAAAATAATTGGTACTTACCAAATGTCATGACAATGCCGCATGTGATGGCAGTAGTGTGTGTTTCTGTAGTGGTTGACAAAAGGCACTGCACGCGGTTTTCGTGCTTCTTCGGACACGTCAGCAGCGCGTATCAGTACTACTTTCCCACCGAAACTCAGACTATGAACCTCCAAGGGGAAAGTTGAACCCCTTAACACTGAACTGCACTGCCGAGGTCTGAACCTGAGACTACTTTCAATTCTGAAGTTCAGTTATAGATTGCTCTGATAAGTGATCCAGTGTAGTGCTTCGATTCAGTCTGTTATCATTGCGGTAGCAGCGTTCGGATAATATTAAAAACAATAGTCCTGATTATAATTTTCTTCATCCAAAATTTCACTTCTATTTTGAACGGAATGAGTTGTGTCGTTCAGGTACCTGTTCACAAATGTCCATGCAGTGAAGATCGTCTTGGGGGAGGTCGGAGCAGAATCAGAATAAAACGGCAAGCACGGAAGCGGGGTTTGTTGTTGTTGTTGTTGTTGTTGTTGTTGTTGTTGTTCTTGTTGTTGTTGTTGTTTTTGTTATTGTTGTTTCATAGAACCTCGCTTCGTTCACGCAACGTACAAGTATAATACTTGATTGAATAAAAGAGGACAGGTCAGATTGTTTAGCTATATATATCAAGTAAAATAAAGTAAAAAAATCGCTTTATAAATCTCTAAGGATGGATATTCAGCAACCACATAACCACAGTGTCAGCAAATTAAAAAAATGAGAAATATGATACGGCACTTGAAAGAAATGAAAAGGACAGCAAAATCAAAACACACAATGGCATACCAGGGTGTTTATGATTGGTTTAGTTTAACATTTCGCACAGATTTTCTGCAACTAGTTCATCGTGTGTAATAAATCTGGCGAGATACGGTAGAATAGAGCTCCTGTAAGCCTCAGTGTGTCTTTATAAGTTTATGACTGGAACGGGTGAATGAATAAGACATACGCTGGTTAGGAGCAGTTTAGACGGGATGGGAAATATCAGATAAAGTCTTATTGGAGAATGTTTGACAGGACTTGAGGTGGTGTGCCATCACATGATGTACTAGATGTTCCCGTGGTATAAAACTATATACCGACTGAGAATTAAGGGATCGGGAAGGTCCTTGTTAAAAAGACCGGGGAAGATAACAGGGGACCCATAAAGCCAATGGGGCAAAACGTAAGCAAAAGTAAAACGCCTTATGAGATGATGTGGGATAGAAAGTGATTTAAGAGATGAAACAAAAACATGAGCCTCCTGACCTTCAGATCAAACTCGTGTAATATCACTCTCACTTCGGAAAAATATTTTAGTTTCCAATATCGTACTGGTACATATATTGATGGCTATGAATGAATGTATTTATTCCTGATTTTATACCTCAGGTCTTTGTTATTAATTGTCTTCTATCACCGACTGAATTTGCGCCACCTTGAGTGTCGCAATAAAAGTTGTAGTGGCTTAAATGTTACAACTATATATATATATATGTATATATATATATAGAGAGAGAGAGAGAGGGCTCAGCCCAGAATCCTGTAATCATTTTTCCACTTTATGACGCAATCGAAAATTGAGTCTTTCGTTGACGGCATGAACTGCGAGCAGGAGCTATGCTTACCAAATGTGTTTTGTCCAGACCAAATTATGATAATTTTACTGTCGGTTCAGAACCGTTTTCCTTTTCGATGAATCACGAGAATTTTAGTGTTTACGCGATATAATATTCTTGTTATCTATTAGCGCAGATGGAAAAATTTGATATACGGTTACTGCTTGAAAAGGCTTTGCTTTGTTCTATTTAGGCTGGTAAACAACCACGCAATGAATCTGTCGAGTCATTCATTCCTAAAATGCGCGCAAGTAGACGGTCCAAGCACCGGTGAAAAATTAGGGGCGTCAACAGGTGAGTAGAAAGGACAATAACCGGTACAAGCGTCACAAGGAGGCATAATGCCTTCATGCTGGGCAGTTAAAGAACGAATCACAGTGAGCTGATCATTACTGACATTCATTCTCAGAGGCGAAACGATGTTGTCACAGAATATGTTCGCATGAGGTGCGTGTGTGTGCGCGTGATTGGAGGCAGCATTAGCCAATCAATAATCAATTCTGCCAGTCATGACAAACGATCCAGTCAGCTGTAGATCACAATAGGTATGAACCTCGATATCCGTAAGCGACATCGATTCGTGAAAAGAAATTTAATTTTTCTAATTCTAATATTTTTCATCAACCTCTACTGTTACCCTTTATATTCAGTCCCATTGTCGAACTTGGGCGAACAGATGAAGGAGTGCGCATGGTCCTTGCTCACAAACGTAAGTTGTCATACTTCAATTCACAACTTTACTTGACTACGGCTAATTAATCGACCATGACGTTTCCAAAGCCTTTACTTTCTTTCTAGTCGGTTATAAACACTCGTTAGTCAGAAAGCCTCTAAAATATTTCTAATTGTAGTCAAGTAGCTTTTAAATTATATCGCAATTTATTAAAACACAGAGGCCAGTACTACGAAATGCCAAAAAAATGGTTAGGCAAGTGAGTCACCTAAATTTATAACAATATAACAATAATTTTGTAGAGTGTTTGTGATGCACGTGATGGTTGAGAGGAAACAGCGGAATTATTTCCACAACCTGTCCCATGGTTATTTAACAGATCGCATCAGAAATTATTACGCAAATAAAACCGGCTGTCATTACTGAAATGCCACTGCTTCACTAGATGTTATAAGCTTGGGATTCACACGAGACTCATATGTCTAGTTATCACCAAATATTTGGCAAACGACTGACCCGGATCTCCTTATTCATCATTACTTTTTGGGTGATTTTGATTCATCAATTGTGGCAGTCGTTATGATAGAATCCTGTTTGTTCCGATGATGTACGCGTCACCACAGGTGAACTGGTAGGTACAATTGCTGCACAACCGGGAGGTTTTTTTGAGTGTAGTTATACAGACAAAGACCTTTGGCATGCAGCACCAAACAAACCGATGGGGTGAGAAATATTCGACCCAAAGCCTTCGTGAACTCCTGATGTACACAATTCATTAGCTGACTTTCCTTCGAAGTTTTGTCTTAGGAGGAAAGATTTCTTCGGTACTTCGCCGATTAATTCAACCGTTGCCCTTCATTTTTGGATTCACTTCTCCAGAAAACCATTACCCTTATGGTCTTTCATATAAAATTCCCCCTCTATAAAGTGTCTCACGATAAAACATTTTTCAGAAGTAGTGGGAAGGTGATTTGACCAAGCCTCTTTAGGATGCCATCTCAGCAAAACTGAACAGTAAATATTGCCTGCACGTTACGAAGTTCGGGTAGATAGATCGTTTTACTACTTGCCTTCGAATTTTGATATATGAAAATAATAAGAAGATAAGCTCCTCTTCAAAGGTAATAGAGAGGGATAAAAGTGAATATTAGTAAACAGGGAGCAAGGTACCACTGGCCACCCATCCTGGGAGGAATGATCTAAACATAAACGCACTACTAATAATTAGTAAACAGTACAAAAATATTTGTTAAAAGATATTTATTAGATGGCCTACAGGGATATAACAGCCTTATGTGTTGCCGAGGCGTAGCATTCTCAGTATGGAATGTCTGGATGGATAATTCGAATCACACATGGTATTGCACCTGATCGAGATATCTCGATGTTATTCAATAACCGATGGTCACCGCCAAATCCAGTGACACTTCAAACTTCTCTTCAAACGACTCTTCAACGTTAGTGGTGTGCGGTCCAGTGGCTCGATTAACGAAACCGTCGAAGTGATGAACACATATCTGCACATAACAGAGAGAGCGAAATGAGCGATACACGGTCCACTCATCGTTGTGCACAGTTGTTCTCGGTAATAGCCACTGTTTCAGCAAAAGTCAGGTGTACTTGCAGATGGAACTTCTGCCCGTTGAATATAATCTTCCGTAGGGTTTCGGTCATCTTCAATGTTTTCTAGGTCAGAAATTTAAACAAAATGACCAATTCACACGTTTTAACCGAAAGGACAAACCAATTTCACGATGGACATAGTTATTGATTACTTTAACATCAAAGAAAATTTTAGTTGAGCACAAATTCCAGCCGTTTTCAAAAATACAAACTTTAATGCACAAATGAAACAACAAACTGACCAATAGAGGTCATTTATGACCCAGGGATTCCTTTGCCGATAGACCGATCCATCTGAGCTGCAGCGAAAATCTTTGTGACGATCGACAAACAGGCAGCTGTCTCGTCCTGTTTGAGACTCGTTAGCATGAGAGACTTCCATCGTGTTTTATTTCGTTTAACTGATGTGAAATTAACGATCGCCCAAGGAGTGCGACCCACACCCAAGATCATCACCAGTGCCTATGGTGCCTATGAAAAACTGAATGGGCTAATCCCAACATTCACCGTCTAAATGTATATGAACATATTTCTACGCAGTCATCAAAATCAATTCACACCAATAGCTGCTCAAAAGTAGTCTATTGCAACAATTACAATGAACACACCATTATTTTCAGTATGCAAATAATGTTGTGTCAGCATAGTTCTCTAACAAATATTCATTCTCAAAGATCGCACAGTAAACAAATGAGAAGTGGGATTTGTGACCGAGGCACTTTTCATAATCGTCTGCCCGGCGCTTCCACAGGAAGTCAAGATACCTGTGATGCATGATGGTCATCCGGACATCGTTAGAAGGCTTGGAAAGTACATGAGCCTAGCAGCTCACGTGAGGTGAACGAGACAGCTTGAACTGATACACCAGAGATAGACCGGGTGACTCACTACGAAGGAAACACTGCTGAGTCGAATTGACCGCGGCGGTTCAGTTGCACTTTGCCTAACGAAACTGTGTCAAATGGGTGAGTGATGGATAGGTGATCACAGCTCATAAGTCAATCCACGTACCGTATGAATCGCTTGTGTGTTTGTGGTGGGGAAAGACGGCCGCTTGGTGTCAACCTTTCTCTGATCGTGAAAAAGATCACAAGTTTTTCCAGGGTGAACTGAACGGATGGTGAGAAAAACACATTTGGTCAGGCTGAACGCTTCAGGTCTAAGATTCTCGAGAAACCTGAGACGAATTCAAACGTCTTAGATGAGCCTGAATTCTCAATATTTAAATGCAAATCATGTATCGTTTGGTGTGTTCAGAAATAATGGAGAGTGCTCAAATCTGAATGATGTTCACTCGAATCCCTTCGTTGATGAATGTATTGTATTGTATTATAATGTATTGTATTATTTTGTATTGTATTGTATTGTATTGTATTGGAGCTTTGGTGAGTTATGTACAAGCTTTCAGCCAAACAGAGAAACCACTTTCTTTATACTGGCAAAAAATATCAGAAAAATGGGACATCTTGAGTAAATAATATTAACTTTACTACCGCGTGCATTGGTAACTCAGAACAAACCCTCCTTATCAGTTAGTATCCCGGCAATATTGGGTACCAAGGTGTTTCTGTAGGCATATTACCTAAATGGGATGAGTTTGTATTTGGAACGGGGCAATGAAAATGATGATTAAAAGACAAATGTAGGGAATCACTGTAGTAATTGTGGTAAT